GCGTAGCCCACAAGCGCAAAGCAAAAAACCCCACAAAAAAAAAAAAAAAAAAGAACACAGTGTGGGAAAGCCTTCACTCCTTCTAGTTCACTTCAGAGACATGAAAGAACTCACACTGGAGAGAAAGCTTGCCAATGTAGAGAACGCGATAAAGCCGTCCTGTGCTCTAGTTCCTTTAAAATTCATGAGAGAACTCGCTGAAGAGAAGCCGTGTAAATGGCTGCAGTGTGGGAGAGCCCACGGTCGTCCCGTTCACTTTAGAGCCTTGAAAGAACTCGCTGGCTAGAAACCTTGCCAGTGTAAGCAGGGTGGGAAATCTTCATTTGTACCAGTTTACTTAGGAGACATAAGTGAAGGTGGGTTGTCCTGTGCAAATTTAAAAAAAGGAAAAGAAAGGTTCTAGATGAGTTTAAGAAAGAAAGAAAAGAAAAAGAGCAGGAAGGAGGAGTCCAGCGCTTTGTTTCAGCATGCCATTTCCCGAGGGATTGGTCAGTCACCGCCTCCATTACCCACCAGCGGGCCTGTGCTGTGCTGCGTGTGTACATCACCCTGTCTCCCTGGCAGAACTGTGAGTTTGTGTGGACAGACCGTGTCGCACCCTGCTCTGTACCTCCCAGCCTTCAGCCAGCTACCTCTCGACCCACTGCGGGGCAGAGCTGAAGGTTTCCTTGTGGTGTGACCACCCAGCTCATGTCCACGGGTCTTCGCTCTGGGATGAAAATACTCTCGTGGGGCTTCCGTCTTGGCGGTAAGGGCAGTAGCTTCTGCTGCAGGAACACCCAGCAGAGCAGCTGTTCAGATTTCTCAAGTTACTGCTGCTGCTGAATATGGTGACACATGGGGCTCTGTGAGGCCTCAGTGCCGTGGGCAGACCTGTGGGTATGGCAGGCTGACTGCGCTTCGAGCAGTGATGGGGGTGGGGTGGGGGCGGGTCAGTGTTCTGTGCTCTGGGAAGGCCCACATGAGGTGAGGGCTGGGGCTGGGGCTCAGAGAGGTTCCAGAACGACTTTGGGAAGGGTGAGGAATATTCCATTTGGTGGTGGATTGAGAGTGTTTAAATGATTGCTTTAAGAATAGGAAGTTCCTCTCAATAGAATAGAATTGACCTTAGTGATTTAAAAAAATTTTTTGTCAGAGGACACGTGTGCTCACTAGACAGAGACAGGGAAAGCAAGAAAGCACCTGCCGTGGGGCATGGCCACACCACGACTCCTTTTCCACGTCTCCCTCCTTTGGGGATTTTGGGTATGCACTCTCATTTGCCTGGTGTGTTTCTCAAGCTGCTAGGTCTGGGACTTGAACTACGCTGTCAGCCATCTGGGTTCTGGCTGCCTTAAACACCAGGCCATAGGCTGCCTGTGGTTAGCATTCAACAGTTAAGTTTATTCATCTGTAATGTCCGCGTTTCTCGTGCATTTTTTTTTTTAAATTGAAACCTGGACATTTTGGCATTATATTGTAAGACTCCAGATCTTTCCTTTCTTTTTTTTTTTTTGGGGGGGGGAGATTTTTGCTATAGGGCATGTGCACTCACTGGAGAGACAGAGACAGACTGAAAGTAAGAAAGGGGAATGACCACGCTTCAGTCTCTTCTCCAGTCTCCTCTGGCGAGTTTGGGCATGCACACACATCCGTCGACGTGTTTTAAGCCTCCAGGTCTGGGACTCGAACCGTCATTGACTACATGGGAGTCCAGCGATGTAGACAATATGCTGTCTGCTGGTCCCTTCGCATACGTTTCTTCTCTTCATCAAGCCTCACTGAACCTGCCACACTCTTAAATGTGTTCCCCTTGACAGTATTGGGGGTTTCATTTTTCTTGACTCTACTCAGTGCCGAGTGTGAGTGACACAGCAGCTTCATTTGGCTCAGCATGTGAGAACGGTGGCGTTTCCCCTTCAGGCTCCCTGAGAAGTCGGACTTCCCACCATACAGTGTAGTGACCACTTTGCTCATCGAGGGCTCTGGCCACTCCCTCAAAGGGAACCCTAGCGGAGAGCTGGTATTTCGGTGTGCCTGTGTACGCCATAGTTTTACAGGTGTAAGTAAGTGCTGGAGAGGCCCGATAGTGTGGTCGGAATGTCGAGAACTTGGTCTTCCCGTCCTGTCCCGGGTCTCGTGCCTGACTTGGAGTGTTCCCTGAGCTCTGCAGTCCTGGAGTGTGGCTCTCGGACAGGTCTGGGACCCCCCAGCCAGCGTGGTGTTAAATGCTTTTTGCTAAGTAGGAAGCTCATGACGATCCTGTTTCCGACGCACGTGGACCTCAGAGCGTGTCTTCGTGGTCTCAGGCTCAGGAGCGCCTCAGGTCCACAGCAGGAGGGTCCTTGATTCATCCTTGTGCAAAGTCCTCCTGCTTATCTCATCCGGCATCTAGACCCCAGAGCTTAAATTCCAGAAGGATGTTTGTTACAGGAACCCACTCCTGGGGGGCTTGTTTTGTCCTCTGCATCAGCCTTGGCACCCCTCCTGTTTGGGGCTCGGGCTTCCTTGGGTGTTGGGGTCTCAGGCAAGATCGGGCCTAGCGGGGAGAGTGGGGAAAGCCCTGGGTTCAGGAATTCTGGCCCGAGAAGGGGTTCTAGTCTGGGTCTGTTGTTGCCCGCCTGGACCCGTGCCCTCGGCCTCCCTGGCGCGTGCTCTGCGTTGCTGACTATGCAGAGGCACCGGGCCTGCCCCCTGGGGAAACCACCAGGATACTGTGGACCGGGACAGGCCTGGAGTGATGTGGCCGTGGAGGCAGCACACTTCGCCCTGGCTTTCCCAGGACTGCTGGAACCCTGCCCCTCCCTGCCCTGCCCTGGCTCCTCTTGCCAGAGCAAGAGTGAAGAGATGGAGCTGCCAGCCAGGGTCAGGGTGGGTGCCTCAGCTCAGGGGTCCCTTGGAGCCCAGCATTTTCCCTCACAGGTTCCCACTGAGCATACTTTTGTAGGTTTATTTCCTTAACTTTCGTAATTTATTTTTTATTGTTTTTTAGAGGTTTTTGCTATAGGTGCGTGCTAGCCAGAGAGACAGAGATAGAGAGACAGAAAGTGAGGAATGACTCCCCAGGGGGGAGGGTCACGCCACAGCCCTTTCTCCTCCATTCTCCTCTCGGATTTGGGGCTCACACACATGTGCCCGGCGTGAGTTTAAGCTGTCGGCTCCAGGACGTGAACTGCACCTGGCCCTGTGGAGTGCCAACATAACCGCTCTGCCATCTGTGGCCCACTTGTGTCATTTAAAACACTGAGCTTTCCTCACTTGGAAAATGTAAAGACAGTGGGTGGTGCTGGCGGGGAGACGCACCCTGGTGGACACAGGTGTCCTCTGACCACAGGGAGCATGTGCTGAAGGGGCCGGCTGCTAGAGCGTTCCTAGACGGTTTCAAAGTGAGTTCTTTTCCGGGGCCTGTCGTTGCCAGATGATCCTGTTTCTCGGGAGAAGCTGGAAATGGGGAAGTGTGTTGGGGAGGGGGGGCGTAGTTGAAATCTCTTGGTTTTTATTAATTTTTTTGTTTGTTTGTTTAAGGTTACTGCTATAGGGCCCATGTGCTCAGAGAGAGACACAGAGAGGAAGTGAAAAATCACCCCTCGGGGGATGACATGCCATGATCCCTTCTCCATTCTCCCCTCGGGGTTTGGTCACACACGCACCCAGTGTGATTTTCAAGCCGCTGGGTCTGAGACTCAGACCACAGTGACCATGTGGGTGTACAGCACCTTAACCACCTTGTCACCTGCTGGCCCCATTGATTTTGATATGCTCACTTAAATTTAAAAAAAAAGTGAATCGAACAGTGTACTCTTGACTCAGGTTAGGCCCACAGGTAGCCAGCGTGTAGCCTGTGCTCTGAGGAGTGAGTCTGTCTCTTCAGAAACCAGCCACCGTAACAAAGCTGGGTGTGCGGGTGCCTAGCCAGACCGGGTGCCCTGTGAGTCCTCGCCGTCCGGCAGCGCCGTCCCACCCGCTCACCTGCGCGTGAGAGGGGTCTGTCGCGCAGCCTCTCAGTCACATGTGCTCGCACGGTCTTGCTATTTTAGTCCCTTGGGTGTAGGGCAGACTTTTAAAGGAAGACTTTTTCAAAAGAAAATGGAGTTTTGAGCTAATAGATGTCCAGCCAAGTGCCTGATTTTTATATATGACTTTTTCAAATTCTTAAAATAGCAATTTTATCTATTAACACAGTAACTGCAGGTTTCCAGAACCCTTGGGTACATTAGCAATTTAAGATCGAAAAAATTGAAAGTTAATCTTGACTGTCCTTTAGTTATCAGACAGTTATTCATGTAATTTCTTTTTCTGTTTTTTTTAAAGATTTGAACATGGAATTCAATCCTTCGGACCATCCTCGGGCCAGCACAATATTCCTCAGTAAATCTCAGACGGACGGTAGGTTACTAATTTACTTACGTTTCTTTAAACAAAACAAGGTTCATGTTAAAAATTAGGCCACGTCTTGATTTTCTACTAGAATTGCTTTTGAAGGTGAATAATAATTCCCGTTAGTGGGATTTCTCAATATCATCATAAGTATATTGTTTCATGGTGGTTCTCTGGATTTTTTTCGTTTGTAATGAGTTATTGTTTTTGAATTTCCTGTTCGGTGCAGTTTTCCTCCATGTACCAATCAGCTGGATTATTCTTACGTATATTCTGTCACAGAAATTTCTACCCTAATAATCAGAAATTTTCCTTTAAGAATTCATCTTTGCATAAATTCTCTAAGATGAGGTGTTTGTTGAGATAGCATGTAAAAGAGAGCAATAAATAAGTAAATGCACTCTTAATTACCTCTGTCATTGGAGAGGGGAATTGAATTGCACAGGTGCTGATGCTTTCTCTTTCCTATCTCAGCAGCTAGTGTTCTTTTAAAGTTGATTTCTTCCACGCACATGTGTACGGTGCACAGAAGAGGCAGACAGCACCCTGACGTGCTCCAGATGCCGGGACCCACCCGCAGCCTCAGGCAGCCCTGTGTCACGGGCACGCGTGCCTGCTGTGCTCCAGGTGGGATCTGGCACCCTTCCCCGGAGGGTCTGCCTCACCAGGTATCATGTTTTGCCACTGCACCAGCCAGGGTTCAGTACCTCACTTGTTCTCGAAGATCCTGTGACGCGTGCTGTTGGCCCCGGGCGTGTGGACTTGCTCCCAGGGGCTTTCCTCGCTTCATCCCCTGCTTTACCTCCTTGCTCCCTGCCTCTGGGGCTGTGAGAGAGAGGGAAGGCTCGTGCAGTGCATTGAACACAGGTCTTCCCAGTAGACTCCTGCAGCAAAAGCCGGCAGGAGCATTCGCGGAGTGATGACAGTGACCAGGGTGATCACAGCACTCGAGTCCTACGTGGCCTGTCCTTGAGTGTTTGGCGAGCTCTAACTTAGATCTTTAACTGAACAGAATAACCAAGCATGTTTAAGGCCGTAAATTCATTTATAAGAATAGGTAACACTTTTGGCAGGGTATAAAGCTGATGTAATGTTGGTAATCTTTAAATAGGCCACTGACTATTTGAAAGACTTTGGTGCCTTGATGAAAAGTAAGTATTTTCAAAAGTAAGAAAAAAATCATAGGCAAATACTTGTAAAGTAAGTTTCAACCACGTGGGTTATGAAAACCACTTTTTTCCTTGACCAGGTGAAGCGAGACACCATTGGGGGGATGCATGGCTGGGACAGTGAAGAACGAGGGTCAAAACCGATGTTTTTAGGGATACTTAATGATTGTGGTTCAAGAAAAAAAGGCCCACTTACTTTTAGGCTTGGTTCTTGCTTCTTGTGAACTCCAGGTGCAGACCAGTTCCGTTTAGGGAATGCCCTAACACGGGTCACGTGGGGTTACCTGAGCCCCAGCGTGGGCTGTGCCTTCCCTTTGTTGCAGTGGTGAAAGGAAGGCTGCCCTGCTGGAAGGCTGCTGCAGGAACAGCGCGGGGAGTTGAGTCTTCCCCTTCTCCCCGCTCTAGCCTCATTCCCCTCCCCTCTGACCATCAGAACTTCAGTTCCTCTGACCCTCGCCTGCTGCCTCAGTGTCTCCTCAGTGGTGGATCTTCCCACCCAGCTTGAAAACACACTTGAGTCGCTCAAGTTAAAAATAAGAAAAAGGTGCCAGCAGGTGGCACCGTGGTTACGCCACTGGACTCCCACATAGCTACCTGTGGTTTGAGTCCTGGACCTGGTGGCTTACTTTCTCTCTCCCTTCCTCTCAGGTGAGCATTCGTGCCTTATAGCAAATTAAATAATAATATAAATAAAATTAAATATTTTAAAAAATTATTTAAAAAAAATACGAAAAGGGTCCCATACCCCTGCTCCGTGAGGGCATGCAGTAAGATGGCCGAGCACGTTTCTCTGTAGCCCCTGCCTGTGCGCCCCTGGCTGCCAGAGACTAGTCCCTGCTTCTTAAAACTCCTCTCCTTTCTTTCTTCCCACAGGCCAAGTGCTAAGATCAAGTCCTTCTAATCAACAATTGCTTTATAAATAACTTAAATCAATTTTTATTTTTATTTATTTTTTTGAGAGGTTTTTGCTATAGGGCACATGCACTCACAAGAAAGACAGAGAGACAGAGGGACAGACAGCGAGCAATCACCCCCCCGAGGGGGGTTGGCCATGCCGCAATCCCTTCTCCTCCATTCTCTTCTTGGGATCTTGGGCACACACACACACACGTGCCTGGCGTGAGTTTAAGTCACCCGATCTGGGACTTGAACCGCAGTCGACTACATGGGAGTCCAGCAATATAGCCATTACACATTCTGCTGGTCCCCTCCCCCCACCGCCCCGAAAAAAACAAACAAACAAAAAAAAAAAACACCCAATTTTTAAAAAATAGGTAGATTTGGTAACTTCAATGAAGTAATTCTTTGATAAAGTTATTGTCAGAAGGAATTCACAGTTGGCTCTAGGGGGTGATTTATTTTACTTTCTGTCCCTCTGTCTTTCTGGTGAGCGCATGCGCCCTATACCAAAAACTTCTCGAAAAAATAGTTATTGTCAGAGAACTGGCTATTTGGTGCATTGACTTTTGGCATGTTGGTCCTGAGAAATCCTCCCTTCCTTGATAAGCCCCTTTTCAGGCCTCTTAGCAAACTTCTCTGTCATTCATCCATTTCATGGTAGCATTTCCCAGCATTCTGTTCTTCACCATCTTTCTTTTTGGTCTGCACACAGTTCCCCATGACTTTCATGCCACTTATAATACCTCGGCCAGATTTTTCACTGTAGGTTCAAGACTCGTGTATCCTACTGGCTCCTGGGCATCTTTATACAGTGGCTGTAGGTTTCTCCAGCTCAGTATGTCCCAAACTGAACTTACAAACGTTAACTTCCTGCATTTCCATTCTGCCTAGTCCCCACCCTGGAGTGCTTTGAATTTTCCTAGCCTCTCCCCCTTCTCATTCCCGCAAGAGACAGGGAGAGGACGCTGTCCTGCTGGCGAGCGCTGGCTGTGCCTGCTTCCTCTCAGCTCTGTGTTCAGTCTCTCATGCTGAGATGCTGAAATGACTGTGGCGGGAGTGTTTACACCAGGGGAATTGGCAGACACTGCAAATTAGGCATTTTCTTCGTTATTTTTTTTTAAGGGCAGTAGTTAAACATTTACTGGCATACCATTGCCTCTGGACAGTCTAGGGTATGTTGAGTGTTACCCCTTAAATATCCCTTGACCCTGGCTTCTCTTTCTCATTGTCGTTGCTGCCACCTCAGCTTGGACTAGTGATGTCTCAGCTGGATTACTGCAGCAGCCCCAGACTGGGACTCCCTGACCTCAGACTTGGCCCTCTCCAGTCCTGTGCCCAGGCTGCTGTGGGACGACAGCACTTCTTATTAACCACTTCTGATGATGTCATCTGCTTGCTTAACCTTTTTAATGGCTCTTCAGTGGTTTTAGATTAATTTAGAAGCACCTGGCGTAGTGTTCAGGGCCCTTCATGACCCAGCCTCTTCCATCCTAACCTACTCTCAGCCTCAGCCCTGCCAAGTCCCTGGCAGCTCCTCCTCAGTGCCCTTGCCTCGGGCCTCGTGCACCCCTGTCTTGCCTCCCGTCTTCCACATAGCTCACGTCTTCAGTCTTCAGGTCTCACTGCTGCTGCTGCTCCCTCCTCCGATATTCCGGGACCTCTCGGGCTGGGTTACGTGGACCTTGGCGAGCCCCCACGGTGGTCTGCCAGGGCTGCTCTCACTGTCTGAGCCATGTTGTATTTAGAGCTGTTGCCTCGGCTCTGCCGCCCACCAGTTCCCAGAGGGACAGGAATGTGTGATGTTGGATCTTGGCATTCCCTGTGCTGTGCCTAGTGCTTGCCACAGGACGTGCTGGACACGGAACGCACCAGACACGGATGGGCCTGCCACCTGCCTGCCACGCCTACACAGGATGCACCCAACACAGGTTGCACCTACACAAGTGCGCCCCACACAGGATGCGCCGGAAACAGGACATGCCTGCCACAACATGTGCCTACATGGGACGCATCTGACATGGGACATGCCTGCCATGGGCCATGCCTGCCACAGGATATGTGGACACAGAATGTATTGACACAGGATGTGTCTGCCACAGGACGCACCCGACACGGGACGTGCCTACACAGGGTGCGCCTACCCAGTCGGTTGAAAGGAGAAATGGAGCCAGGAGACGTTCCTTACTGGGTCGTGGTCTTCTTCCCTGGAGTGAACAGTCTATTAACTTCCCCTTCTAAGAGCGCCAGAGCAGTTGGCAGCCCGAGGCCCACACAGCCCCGTTCCGAATGGCCACATGCTGTGATCTGACACTGACAGGCAGCACCTTCCCATTGAATCCGTGGTCTCACTCCCTTCCTTCAGGCTGGTTTAGACTAGGTCAGCAGGTCGGAGGCCCTGGGGTGCCGACAGGTGAGGCAGGCGCTGCTCAGCCACGGTCACACAGCCCCTTCCTCCTTCCCCGCCATAGGGACTGAGACGGCGGCGTCGGAGCTCCGGCACTTTCCTCTACCTGTTGGAGACTGAGGCTGGACTCGGAGATGCATTTCCACTGAAAGCCCTTCTAGTGAGAGCCCTCCAGCTGGCCGGAGTGCGGGCATTTTATCCACAGCTGGAGTGCTGCCCCGCCATTGCCCCACACAGCCGAGGTGCCCATGCAGCCTGTCTGTGTGCAGAGCCGCGTGACAGAGGAGGAGCCAGGAGTTCTAGGGGGAGGAGATTGCTGGGTGAGAAAAATCAGTTCACTGGCCTGCCTTGGCCTTCCTTGCTAGTTTGTGTCTTTGTCTAATTTTAGTGAGCTGTTTTCGAAGACGCGAGAGCCTGCTCTGTAGTAGGAGAAAACAGCTGGGCGGCATCTTTTTCTTCCAGCTAGTGTGGTATAGAGAAATTCCTACCTTAAAGAAGATTGGCCGAAGTAAAACCCCATGTGTGCGTGTGTGTGT